CCCCCAAAAAAAAAACTCACTTTGACAAGTGGCATATGTGACCAAGACCCCTAAATTAGCCAATCCTGGAATTTTTTTCTTGTATACGATGGAGGAGTTGTAGTTATTGCTAGAGGAAAAAAGGGATCAAAATTTGACGGATGAGTTGAAGTTGGTTTGTGTAATTATCTACAGTATACTAATTTAGCATTTTAATCGTCAATCGAACAGATACAAAGCTTTGAGACAGAACTTCCTATTCCTCAAATTGTAGCTAAAGAGGGTGGTCCTCCAAGTTTTCGTGCTGTTTTTATCCGTGCACCTGCAATCCTTGATGTAGGACCAGATGTTGAAGTGCTGGCAGACATTCCTCTCTCAGCCGTTGAAACTATTAGTTCCAATCATGCTATTCAGAAGGAAGAGGTTACTTTTGTCCTTCTTCCATTTAAGTGTTCCAACTGCAGTATAGATGTGAGAATTCGAATTCACTAAGTGACATACACTCTAGGAAATATGCTTACTCACTTAATTACTTGTCATATATTTGTTAAAGGGAAATATAACTAAATTGAAGATTTGTGTTTGCACGATCTTGCTTCATTTGCATTTGATACTTGGATAACTAATAAATGCTTATGAAAATAAAGTTTTAGGAAACCTTGTTCATTACTCTTTGGATGTCTCTAGATGTTACCATCCTGCTGCCACTTATCATGCAAAGAAATTTAGAGCCTGTTTGGCCAAGCTTCTAGGAGGCCAAAAGTACTTTTTTTGGTCAAAAAAGTACTTTTTGAAATATTTAAGGTGTTTGGCCAAAATGAAAAAGTACTTTTGAGCAGCAGCATAAGTAGTTTTTCTGCTTCTGGGAAGAAGCTAAAAGTTCTAGCTTCTTCCAAGAAGCAGAAGCAGAAGCAGAAAGTTAATTTATTCAAGACAAAAATATCCTTACAAAAAATTTATATTTTTCAAATTGTCCCTCATTAATTTAATTTTTCTTTTCCTTTTCCTTTTTTTTTTATTTCTGCTATACATTTATTCTCTTTTTTATTTTAATTACATTTTTATTCTCTTTCTCCTATTCCTAAGTGTAGATTTTAAATTTATATTGAATGATGTATTTTGACATATTTAAATTATCATGTAAATAATAAGTAATACTAAACACTCAATATTATTGTTTTGGAATAACTATATTATATTAATGAGAATTTTTAATTTACATTTCTACTTTACATTTAATATTTTAATGGTCTTTTCTAAAAAATGTTTAGATTTATTTTTGTTTTCTAAATAATACTAATCGCAAATTGAACCTTTACTATCCTTTTTCGTAAGTTGATACTTAAAAGTGCTTTTTTAAAAGATTGGCCAAACACGATGAGCTTGCAAAAAGCACTACTCAAACGAATCGGCCAAACACAAACTACTTATTTTGCAAAAGTACTTTTTCATAAAGTACTTCTGAATAAAAGCGCTTTTCAAAATAAGTAGTTTTTGGCAACTTGGCCAAACGGGCTCTTAGAGTTCTTCATCCAACCTCTATGTTTCACAAGAAGGCTACATATATCTTTTATTGGAGAATTTTTTTTTTACTTTTACTATTTGATCATGCACTTGTATTTCTAAACTATTTGATTATGCACTTTTCTACATTTGTTGTTACATGAGAAATGTACACATTAATTGTGGATTTCTCAGGCTGAATAATACCAAGATTGCTTTACTAATCACACCACTGTCTTGTGTGTACCTGATACTGTTTCTCCGAGGTTTTCTATACACATCAAATTTAAGTCGGGCCTCAAATGTCCATGAAAATGTTAACAATATGTTATTCTTAAGTTGATCACTTGGGGAAGACTTTGTCAATTAGACTTGAATAAGATATTTGCGGGGATGGGACTCATTTTCCTAATAGTTACAAAACTTGGTGCATGTGTAAAGAATTTTTGTTTTCTATCACTTCTACGCTTGTCAAAAGATTACACTTGTCGGTTAAGACTTGGAAGCCTGTTCTGCCATGGGAAAACTATGAATGTGCTAGCACACTACAAAATAGTTTATAAACTCTGATTGAACTGAGTCTAACTCGTCCTAAAAGAGGAATATTGATTACAATAAATTAAGTTCTGGTGAACTAAAACTGTATTGTTCACCATTCATCAGTTATAATAATGCGATTTAATCTTTTACTTTCCCCATTTGTTAGAATATCAGCTCATATATATTTTATGCTTCAGGAGTCTACTGAGTCTGAAAAGAAAGTGATTGTTGCTGTAAAGCAAGGGAACTTACTGGCTACTGCTTTTCACCCAGAATTAACTGCAGATACTCGATGGTAAGTGTCTTCTGCAACTAACATGAATGCTATCCACTCCCAATTTTATCAGACATTCCCAAAGGGACGTGGTATCTAATACTAATTACAGCATTACTTTCTTTTGCAGGCACAGTTATTTCTTGAAGATGGTGCCTGAAATTGGAGAAGGAACTTCTGCTATTGTCTCCGCGCCCACCGCAGATCAAAGCTTCCCAGAGCGATCAGTAATTGATTTCCCCATATACCAATAGCAGAAAAAGAAAATGTTCAGAATTAACTGAAAATCATATAGAAACATCGAGTGACTGCTTGTCGCCATGGTTACCTTAATTTATGTGTTTTCCCTTACTCTTGCTTGTTGCTTTATTACTAATCTTGCATCCTAAATGCTGTTCCTACTGGACAGAAAGTATTGATGCTATTCATTGTTGTACATAATAGTACAGGATTATCTTTTTGTTTGCCTCCAGGATCTTAATCAGAAAGCTGTTTTTATGAATTAAAACTTTTCTAGCAAATTCCTGCAGTTTTCCCATTAATGATAAGAGCATCGTTGATATGGATAATGAATTGATTACAATTGAATAGTTTGAGTTAGTCAATGGCTATACTTGTTTACACATTTTATAGACTCAACTCCTGCATTAAAAGCTATTATTAGTATTTTGTTTTTACAGTTGATAACACTTTTCATCCTGAGTTTCAAGATTGGAATTGGGTGGCTTTCTAAGCAGGGAAAAGAAGAGCAACTAACTCTTTTGTTCAATTTGCATGGACTACTTTGCGATTCTATTACGTACGTACAAGTGGCCAAGTTGTCCATTCTGAGATCGTTGATCCAACTTTTATTTTGTTTTTAAATTACGGTAATGTTCGGGTTAACTTGCAACTCAAGTTAAGTAACTTTCCTCACCAAAACTTAGACAAAGGGCTGATCTATGACCACCCTCTCACTCATGGCACACATGCTATTTGTGTGACGCCGACACCCTAATCTAGACAACCACTCCAGACTATTTACCTTATTTATGATCATCTTACGGCCATCATGCTATTCTATAATTAACCATGCTCTTCCACTACTAGAAAATTGCAAAAAACCGTCCAGGAATACCGATCGATCTCGGTCGAATAACTGTAAAAACCGATTGATTTCTTACCGACTTTAATCCGTCGAAATAAGGCTGGTCAGTAATAAATAGCGGTTGAAGTCGGTCGCAATATCCGACCGATTTCGGTCGGTCAATTAAATTTCACAAACGACCAAAAAAGAAAAAATCTGCCAAATAAACCAATCGTAGTCAATCGGTATTTTTGATTATGTAATTAAAAAATGCACCGTTTGGGAATCGAACGCCTTGACTCTAAGGAGAGGACCACCAGCTAGCGGATCAGAAAGCCTTGGTATCGTTTTCATACCGTTGTATTGAACGATCCCGGTCGGTTGCTTTCTGTTCATATAATGCATACAGCTCTGGTTGCTGGTTGGGCCTACCTGTCATGCTCCTTGGATTATTTACAAGTGGTATTCAAGCTCTTATTTTTGCAACTTTAGCGGCTTATATAGGTGAATCCGTGGAGGGCCATAATTGAAATAGTCTTATTTAGCCCTAAAAACCAACGAGTCACACACTAAGCATAACAATTATATCAAATGGTCAATCGAATTTTTATTCAACAAAAATTGTAAAATAAAATACTTTGAAAAACTGACCGTCTTCAATCGGTTTTTCGACTGGTTTTTTGACCGACGAAGTCGGTCGGTAGGTCGCGGTTGGTTTTGGCCGAATTTCTAGCAGTGTTTATGCTAAAGATAGCCCTTCATAGATCTCTACAACCTATCTCTACAAACAGCCATAGATTGGCGTACTAATAGTAGCTACTACCTGTACCGTTGATAGTCGCTTACATGGGCGAAGCTACATAGCCCTAAGGGTGGTCAATTGACCACCCTTCGTCGAAAAATTACATTGTATATATAGGTAAAATATTGGATTTTAGAGGTATATAACATATATTGAACACCATTTATCGGAATTCTTTTTTTACTTCTTTCAAGTTTGAACACCCTAAATAAAGTTTCTGGCTTCGCCACTGGTCGCTTACCCAAAAACCTATCTATGTGTATACGCTTAGAGCACGCCCCAAAAAAGATATCACAGCATTTTTAACATCTACAACTCTAGCAATTAGTCCTCACATGGGTGGAAGCATAGTGGGAAATTTTTTAATTTAAGAAAGAAGTTGAAAGCAAGCAAAGCATTAATTGGAAGAGTGAGCAGCACGAAGGCCAAAGTTGGAGTGCATAAACCATGTTACTAATTCTACAAGCATTATAAGCTGCTGACTTTGGTAGGTTTTTTAGGATCTGGAGCACAGCCTTCTCAGATCTCAAAACTAAACTTTAAGTAATATTTTCTTCTAATTATCTAATTCAGTTTTAAAACCTAGTAATAATTTTCATAAATAGGTTCATTAATTCTTCAGTAAGTACAGTCCTACTACTACTAAGATTTTGGGAGAAGTGCACAGTTCACAAGTAATAAGATATGTATTTACTTTTAAGTCAATATTTAAAATGTCTTTAATCTTTAGCCACTGCTTTAATAAACTTTTACCTGCCCGGACGAAAATACCCTTCTCCTCATAAAGTTTAGGACCAAGTGTCCTTAACTTATGAGCTTGTTACTATAAGTTCAGGACTAACTGTCCTTAATTTATGAGCTTGTAAGTCTAAGTTTAGGACTACCTGTCCTTAGTTTTTGAGCTAGTAACTCTAAGTTTAGGACAGGTAACTCGTGGGAAGAATGACAACATATGTTATCAGTGATTCTGATAATGAACCTTCTGATGATTCTGAGTTTGATGGAGATGACTCTGATGAAGATTACGATTAGGTGGCTGCTTAGATCAGAAAAGAGATTGGAGAAAGGGTAATACCGTCTTGTCATATTAATTTTAATAGACTAGTGGTTACTTTTGCTCAGCATTAAAAATATTGGATAAAAAATAAATACCACTTTAAAAAGTGGCTAACCCACGCAATTTCTACTTAGATTTTTGAGATCCAATGCTGTAAAAATATTATTTGATGCTGCGTAATTTGTACTACAATATTATGCCTTTGACTTTCGTCCATGTGAAGGTATGTTGCATTTATTTTTCTCCTTTTGACATTCAAGAAAATTTCTTGATAATTTAGGTTCACGATTTTTTTCCAACGGAGCACAGCTTTATTTTTCTTTTAAATTTTTTCCTAGTTAGAAACTACTAATCGATGTGTTCGGCTGGAAATGCTTGAAGCTTTAGGGTGTGTTTGGTATGAAGAAAAATATTATTTGAAAAATACTTTCCAAATTTTCCATGTTTGATTGGCTTAACTCATTTTCCTCCGAGACTTCCCTATCAAAAGGAAGGAAAAATATTTTTCAAAACTCTTTTTCAACCTTCCCCACCATATTTTCCACCTCCACACCCATCCCACCCACCCCCACCCTGGCCTCTAGACCCTGACCTACCACCCTCCCTCGCTCTTACCTATTTCATCTCTCATAGTGTTTGTCTAAATTTTTTATTTTTCAAAAAATATTTTTGCTACCAAACCAAACACGAGAAAATAAGCAAGGCATCACCTATTTTTCAAGAAAATATTTTCCAAAGATAACATTTTCCTTCGTACCAAACACGCCCGTAATGTCGATACTATAAGCCTAACTATGAATTTAATTTGTAAATGCCTTCTTAATGGAGGAAAACAAAACATCTTTGACGAATTAGAAATTCATTAAAAGGGTGGCAAACCGTTAAAATCAGGACTAATTACTAATAATTCCTTTGTGAAAAAATGAGATAAAATTAAGATTGTTATGAATCATTTTATCATAATGTAACAACTAACAAGTATCTTAAATTTAAGTAGAAAGGGATACAATTACTATTATAAATTAAGCAAGTGCCGCCCATGCACTCGTACGCTCATCTTTTCAGAATGTTTCCATTGTCAAAGATTTGTCTTCAAATTAACTCTTACACTTTACTCGTTTTTTACTGTGATATATCAGTACGCAATAGGGTTCTTTCGGTTTAGCGACAAGTAATGTAGGGATTAGTAATACAAAAAGATTAGCGATGTCAGCGTTTGTTTTGGATCTTTAGTTCGATATATGAAGGGGAATCTTAGAGCAACGATAAAATTGTCTCATGTGACCTATAAGTCACGGGTTCAAGCTGTGGAAGCAGTCATCACTAATGCTTGCATTATGGTACATTGCCTACATCACATTCACACCCTTGGGATGCAGCCATTTCCCCGGACCTTGCGACCTGCGTGAAGCAGCCACTAATGCTTGCATTAGGGTACGTTGTCTACATCACACCCTTGAGTTACGGCTCTCTTCCCGGACCCTGCGTGAATGCGGGATGCGTTGTGTACCGAGCTGCCTTTTTTATCTTTTGTTGTATATGTCACAAATCATTTGGTGCACAGACTACTTCTATAGAAATTTGACTGTCAAGCGATTAATAATAATATAGGGAATATAAAGTGGTGAATGATAATGTGGAGATTTTTATTCGATTAATAATAATATAAATCGTATTAGTTATGTGAAATTTTATGTCAGAAACTATAATATAAGGACATTTATTATTCATTTAGTCAAACTCATATTGTGCAACATTAGTTGTTTTATCACGTGAAAGAAGCTAAAACCCCATGAATTAAGCCGAACTCCAAGTCCCAAGTCCAATTTCCACACTTATATATATGAACCCCATCAACTCCTGTTCCTACCATTACTGCTATTTCAGTCTTAAGACATAAGAAAAAAAGAAAAACATTTGTCATCTCCAGCTTGAGTAGTAGTAAAGATGGACAGGAGAAAGTTGTGCCTAATAGTAGCTCTGCTCCTCTTATCCATCTTTTCACAAGCCACCATTGCTCAAACCGAAGGCGATGGCATGCAGGAAAATGCAGTCACTGAAAATCCTGATTATGTTGTGTTGGATCCATTGCCAGGTACAGGACAAGAACGAGCGTTCTGCACAGTTCCGGGAGTTTGCTACTACAGAACTCTCACCTGCCCAACAGAGTGCCCCCAAAGGAAGCCTAAACATAACAAGAGGCAGAAAGGATGCTATATTGATTGCACCAGCAAGTGTGAAGCAACTTGCAAGTGTAAGCATGCTCATTTACTCTCTTGCAATGACACACATATATATATGTGTGTGTGTGTGTAACTGACAATGTAACGATCTTCTACACTATCTGTGAATCTTAACCTGTGATAGCATGTTAGTTATCATTTTTACTAGGTTATCAGTTAATGCTTATCGTAAAGATTCACATGTAATTACCTTATAAAAGACCTGATTGTGTATACACTATCACATGTTAGATATCATTTTTACCGGGTTATCAGTTAATGCTTATCGTAAAGATTCACATGTTATTTACCTTATAAGTGACCTGGTTGTGTATACACTTTTTACACCATCAATGCATTAAACTTAAACTCTATCTAAATAAACTTATGAAACAAAAGTAGTACACTGTAGTATGACACTATTTTCTTGAACCTCTAAATGAACTCAAAGTTTGCTCCTGTTTTCCCTTCTTTTGACAGGGAGACTACCTAGGTGTGATGGTTATGGTGCTCTATGCTATGATCCAAGATTTGTGGGTGGCGACGGGGTGATGTTCTACTTCCATGGAGCAAAGGATACCGACTTTGCCATTGTCTCAGATGACAACCTCCACATTAATGCACATCTAATAGGGATTCGACCAGAGGGAAGGAAGCGCGACTTTACATGGGTTCAAGCATTGTCAGTCATGTTTGACGCCCATACACTAGTCCTAGGAGCAAAGAAAGTGTCACACTGGGATGACAAGATTGACGCTCTTATCGTGCAGTGGAATGGTGAGACAGTTAATGTCCCGACAGATGGAGATGCTGAATGGAGTGTTAAAACTGCTCAGAGAGCAGTGGTAGTTGAAAGGACAGATGATCTTAACAGTGTGAGGGTCACGGTTTCCGGACTGTTGCAATTGGATGTGAAGGTAGTGCCAATAGGAGAGAAAGAAAACAAGGTTCACAACTATCAAATACCAGCAGATGATGCTTTTGCTCACCTAGAGACACAGTTTAAGTTCTTCAATCTATCCAAAGATGTTGAAGGAATTCTTGGCAAGACTTACCAGCCAGGCTATGTAAGTCCAGTCAAGCGGGGCGTGCCAATGCCAATCATGGGCGGCGAAGACAAATATCAGACACCGGCACTGCATTCAGCTCTCTGCAAGAAATGCAGATTCCAAAGATCCTCTAGTATTGCCTCAATTTGATGATCTTGAGGAAGATATTAACCAATGAGTGTAGTACTGGACTTCGTTCAGTCAATAGTCTTTTTATTGTATGTTAACTAAATTATTGCTATAAATCTCATTGTATTTGGATATGTTACTAAGAATATGTGAATAAATGATGTGGAAATCACATAGAAATTTTCGAGTTTACGATGAATGATGATATATCAATCTATGAATGTTATATTCTGCTTGATAGAAACATCAATGAGGCAATATTTTTAGACTTGTAAAAGTTATTGAGGCAAATCTTTTTTTTTCTTCTTTTCATAATATCATCTAATCGGCAAGAGAAAACAAAGTGCTCTTTTTCTCTAAGAAGTATAGGGACCATAAAATATCTTCCTGAAGTTGAAATTTATTGTAGTTTATCTGACCTTCTACCACTTCTACACTTACTTTAGAAAGGGGCTTTCGCCTGGTCCAACCGTTCTATGATGCATCACGAACAGGAAGCTTCTAAAGCTAAACTTTTTGTGACTCCTATACATGGGTCACCAAATACATCAATTGAAACTCCAAGACTACAGCGTTTTGATCCAATGCAAGCCTGTAAAGATGTTGCAATTAAAATTTGATCAGAGAAATATTTTACTTGGAGGAAAAAAAAGAAGGGGTGGGGGTTAAACCAGTTTATTTTGTAAAATAATCTGGATCTACCTTCTTTACATGGGAAAGAGCATTGCTACTCGTGCATCGACCGTGGCTAAAGCTTCCACATGCACCATGAGGAGTGCCAAAGCTTGCAAATTTGATTGAAGAAATGACTTGATCAGGACGAGGACACTCAAGAGACAGAGTTGGCCCTATTTTCTTTCGTGCATCGTCATCCGACGTCCACTTGTCAATAGGAAGTGGATGCGCCTCTGAAACTCGTGAGCATATACTACTTGTCTCTCTTGTTGCAAAAGATAGCTTTGTTGGATTCCCACCCATTTCCTCAAACAACACTATGACATTTCCAGTGGATTGCAGCCATGAACGAGGAACGTGGTATCTGCAAAAGTTTATATATGAAAGTTTCATTTCAAGATTGCTTAATCAGAATTGATATTAAGTTCCACTAGATACCGTCGCTGATTGACTTAAAGTTTAAGATAATACTGAAGACTTACAGCAGCTGGGATGGGTTTCCACAATTTTTGAGACATTTGTTAGAATTGTAAGATCCTCTATAATTGCAGGAGTCAGTGCAACCTCCATTTGATGCAGTATTGGTAGGCCAAAATCGACCAATGCTTTGTCCATTCACCCATGCCTCACCCTTCCCCATTCCAGTAAAATCTAGTGAAAGAGGGGTATCTCCAGCAGGGGCATCAAAACTTGCCTAAATGAACAAAAAAGTCGTGGTTTAATCGTCACTATCGAAAGATTTGGACAAGTGTTGCACTAATTAGGATAATTACAAGCATAAGTATATGAAAAGACAATGAATAAGACACACTAGTCCTTTCAAACAAGTTCCTATTTGTCATAGGTTGTGAAATGACATATCACTTATTTTTGTATTACAGTAGACCACATAAGAGGCATAGGTTCTTTGTCTGTCTAGAAATATAGAAATTTCCTAATGTATGTGCTCGTTCGCTCTTTCTAATTTTTTTTTATCAGTACTCGTCCGCTCTTTCTGTTTTTCTGTTCTCACCCTTCTCTTGGGACGTAATGTTTGATTTCATTAATTTTTTTCTCTAATTGGAATTGGTTACATGTTCATCCCCATTGGTTATTCAGAACTACACCAATAGTACAAACATACACGTACTGGCGTTACATATGCATGAACCCATAATGAATATTTTGTTCACTATGTTGCAAATGATCCAGCAAGGTTACATAGCTGATGTGCCTTAGTCGCAAATGTTCAAATTTATCCTGAAATTGCATATATATATATATATATATATATATATATATATATATATATATATATATATATATATCTGAAATAAAAAGACAGTATTACCTTATACCATATTAACGGTTGGTTTGTAGGCAATGCAGATTGTGACTTCCAAAGCGAAGAACTTCCATCAGATAACCCCAGTTCTTCTCCTTTCAATCCAACCTGACCGACACAGTACAACATGACAGGCAAAGTCAATGCGATTATCCTTCAGAATGAAAACCTAATGCTACCAGAGATTCGCCGAAAACATAGAAGGAAATAAAATATCTAATAATGGAAACAAATACCATTTAACCTATCTTATGGTATTTAGAAAGCTGACTTAACCTGATATGTCCATTGCTTTGACGAAAGATCAATAGTAGAGCCATTTTTGAAGCCTTTCAATTGCACAGGACCGGTAATACCTGCTCCCTTAAGATCAAAGAATGCTCCATAGTTCTGGAGTCAAATACCAGGTGTGTATTAGATCATGCTTCTAAAATGGAACATACAACAATGTTAAGTTTTTCATAGATATTAAAAGTTAATAATCATGAACCAAATAGCAGAGAATATGTGGCGATGACAAATCTTCCACTCAATCTGATTGGAGAAACCAAAATTCACACCTGAAGCCCCACAGTCACACTCAACAGGTCGATTTTGTTTTCTCCAGGTACAAGGGTGACAGGAACATCAATTGTAACTTTAGAATTTCCACTGTTTCCTTTCCCACTTCCTACAAACAATCACAAAGTGTGGCAAATGTTAACCAAAGTAAAGCAACTTTATACCATAAAACTTATACTAGACCGCAGTGAAAATGTGCCTATTCCACTATCTATAGTTCCACACAAGGATGACTCATTTGCCACTTTCAACAAACTACAAGAAACATGCTAAATTCAATATCATCACTTAATATGCTTCAGCAAATTTTTCGATTCGGCACTTTGAATAATCTACTATAAATCGTTATAATTTTATTTATGGATGTATGGAACTCCATGTAAAAGTCCATAAGATAGCTTATGGCAGTATATTTTCTTTTTTTTTAGGCAACTAGTATGTATTCATCAAACGTCATTCGTTCTCGTTACCTGATAGCTTTCCGTTAATGAAAGCATGAAGAACATGGCCAAGTGATTCCACATGAAGTACTGTTTGAGATCCATCTTGAAGGAAAGGCTCATCATTTTTTACATTAACACTGGAAGAAAAGTTGGAAATGATTTCAGAATGACGAACTTCAGAGCAGATCACAATCATGAGTGAAAACGAAGAACACTAGATAAATGCTACTGATTAGAAACTAAGAAAGTGGATATGATGTAATTAGCTGTAGTATTTATCTGCTTTTACCTCAGAGAGTACCAAAGATAATCACTTTTATCGGCTGTAGTATTTATCTGCTCCATCAAACCCGTTTTTGTGAACGCGTTATCACTTGAGATACCTACAGGCTCATTAACCCAAGTCCAACCTGACAAGGATGCGCCAGAACCATCAGCTTCCGTAGACTGAGTAACAAACTTTGAGATTGTTGACATCGAGTTAATCTGTCACCAAGAAATGTAAAACCATCAGCTTAGAAGAGCACACGTAAATGTAATTCTCTAACTCTAATTTCCTCTATCAATGAGGAGGTTTGTACCAATAATGGTAGTATCATTTTTCTCTTTGTCATTTGAGAGATTAACCAGGTCTCATTAGTAGCATATGAGTTGCAGATTTACAGAGGACACTTTGGTTTGATTGAATAATGATAAAGGCTGTTATGCTTTTGCTCTTCCCACTTAATGTCGCAGAGAGTCAATTCCTCGTACAATCAACTTATAACTAACTGTAAACAGATATGGTTTTTCATTTAATTCAAGATGTGTGTCAAAGATTTTTAAGTGGGAAAGCACTCTAATTCCTTTATATATCCTGTTAAAAAAGAAAAGAGTGAATGAAAAAATACAAAGACAGCACATGCTCAAAACCATTGACCTCCAGACTGGCCATTATGAAATGAAATGCGCAAACCTTTAACCTCACAAGGCAAAGAATGCTAATCTGGCATTATCATCCACTAGGCTTTACAATAGGATGTGGAAGGAAAGAATGTACTTGCTTTAAATTTAACATATGGAAAGAAATCGAAGGGAACTGCAACTTTATCAACTCTCACATGTGGACACCAATAAGAAATCAAGAAGCAAAGACAACAACTCATGGTAGCAGATTGACTAGCAACAAGCACATAGCTAAGACTAAAAGTTTCAAAGTGGACAAGATTATGAGCCAAACCTTTGCAGTACTAAATGCCACATTCTTGCAATCAGGTAAGATGCTCACGGACCAAGGAGGCAAATGATATGAATTTCCATTGAAAGTCACGGCTGCATCAGACTGCGTCCCCACATTGGCAAGAAATGCAGCACACACCGATCCAGTTTTATAAACACTGACCTGAAAGAGGAAAAGAAGTTCGTAAGATATAAGGTGAAGCTCTCCTGAAAATGCAGTGTTATCTTTACAACTCATTCTTAATATACCTCTATGTTAGAGCCTGGAGAAGTGATAGTTGGATCAGTTGCCACCATTGCAGCCTCACACAGCTTTATGGCTTTATGGAGATCTTTCAAGTGACCCCACTTTGGTTGTCTTATAAGGCCTACATTTCTCAGGGGAAACATTAACCTTAGTTATGTGTCAAAATCAAAGAAAGGAATGGTTTGACATGGTGATATAAGCTATGGAGAATACACTTGAACATACGCAAGTGATAAGCCATCAAAAGAGAGAGGAAACATACCGTACTCATCTAAAGGAGCATCATAGTCATAGCTAGTTGAAATAAAGGGTCCACCACTGGTCCGACCAAAGTTAGTTCCCCCGTGATACTGTTCAAAGGCAGTAAATATATTTTAAGATTTAGTTCAGCTGTCATTGCAGGAGTGCTACAAATCAACAAGCTGGAATCACTTGGTTAGAAACTCAAATAGTACCATGTAATAATTCTGAAAGGTTCCACCTCGTTGGAAAAATCGAGCCACAGCAAAAGCAATGTCTTCCACAGGTCTGTAAGGGACAGCACCACCAAAAGAAAGAAACCTAAATTCAAAAAGAGAGGTCTCACTCAGTAAGGGCAATTTCAGATCATTTTAGTATCTGCAAGTATTGGACCTGCATATTAAAGGACTGAAAAACCAAATGCCTTACCATCCAGTCCAATTCTCCGTCCACATCTTGGGTGTCTTATCAGAATTCTGCTT